CTTCAGTCTCTTTTTTCTTGGAATAATGTTAAGAATTTTACACTTTATTGATTGGTTTTGCTGATTTACCCCCCTTTTTTTCCTTAAAAAATAATCTTTGTTATATGAGGTGGTTCTCTGGGAGAGAGAGGGCAAAAGACAATGAGAGAAATTTAAATGATATAAAACCAAAAAATGTAAATGAAAATTTATTTTTAAAAAAGAAGCTCACATTCATTGAGCCCAAATGACATTCTGGTATCACTGGAGAAAGATTCCATGAGATGAGTTATTTAATGTGGTTTCTTTTTCCCCATTGGAGCCATATAACTTGATGTCATCCATATTAATCAAGTGATTAAAAAGATATTTTAATTCAACCTCCTCTTTAATTTGGAAGCTATACTTAGTTATATTTAGGTGAGACGATAATGGATTTGGGGGGTAGGCAGGACCACAATAGACTTAAATTATCTCCCTGAAAGATGCCATAGGTTTTTTGTTTGTTTTTTGTCTTTAATCAGTTCTTGATGTGATTGTGTTGATGGCATGTTTTAAATAGAAAGCAGTTTTTCATGAATATATCAAATAATCTAGTGTTCTCTCTACACTTGGGTTTTATATATTTTCAGTATATGAATAAGCCATGGATGTGGAACTGAATCGAAGGCTTAGCAATTATCAACAATAAATGCCATGACCCAGTAAGGTACCTTGTTCAATAATTACCAAATTAATAACACCTCTAGGAATTTTGGGCACATACTTTTTGATCCTCAATCATTATATTGTTTCCTTTTAAGTGTTTGCACAATTTTTTTTAGTGGTACAAACTGTAAATGCTTGTAAAACTGCCTTATATTTAGATAGGTAGGTAATGTTCTCATATTTTGGTAATAGATATGAGATGTGTTAACTTCTATTAAGAAAAGTCAGATCAGGCTTGCATCTGAAAGAAAACAGGTACAGTACTTGCCTAGTAATTCATGTGACACTATGAAACATTTGAGGCAATAATTATGGCACTTACCTGGTCTTGCCACTTTCCTGTTTTTCAGAGAAGCTGTAATTTGAGTCATCTCCTTTTATGTACTATTCTGTTATTTACCATATTCATGATGTGGAAATTTTTTGTTTCTCATTTGATCCTGCTTGCATTTCCACAGTGTTGGCCTTTTTGTGACCATATATTTGTGACCAGAAATTTTTCATCTCATCCTATTTCAGGGTTTCTCTCTTGCCTCTGATTTCTTTACTTCTCACATCCCTGTAGCAAAAATTTTAAGTGATGCTGAATTGCTTACTTGGTTCTTTCAGCTGCTTTGACTTCTCAGATGACCTTAACTTTCTGATTTTTGCTTTCAATTGCTCGTTAAGGGAATCTTGAATTTTGATCTGATTTTATTTTCCAAATTCTATATCTCATGTTTCTTTTTGTTGCCTATAATTGGACAATACAGTGTTCAAGTTTTCTATTTTCTATCAGCTAGATATTGATATAACGTTCTAATTCCCTTCTGTAGACTTTCATTGCCTCCCTCAGATCAGGCTCCCAATCTTTAGGAGTTTCCACTGCTCTATATATTGCCATGTGCAGGTATTGAAATGTTTTTAAACATGTCGTCTGAGTGTAGTAATGTAATTCCTATTATTAGAGGAGGATGAAGCTAGTGGATCACATGAGTTTGGGAGTTCTATGTTGCAGTATGGGTAACATTACCAGTGTCTGCTCTAAACCTGGCACCCACATAGTGAACCTCTCAGGGAGCAGAGGGTCACCAAGCTGCCTAAGGAGGAGCAAACCAGCCCAACTCAGAAAAATGTAGCAGGTTCAAGCTTCCGTACTGATCAGAGCTGGATGGTCACGGACTGCACTTTCAGACTGGGCAAGATAGGGAGATCTAGTCTCAGAAGCAAAAATAAATATACATATATATTTTTAAAAAATGCTATCTAATACTGTGTGATATATAGTATGGCACATGGGTATAGCAAATATTAGCTTTTAAAAATTACCGTTTTAGCCTAATTGGTCTTCTAGTTGTATTCATGCTATCAAACAAAAAGAGCTTTTTAGAATTTTAGTCCAACTATGCCCATCCCCTTTCAAAATAATTTGAGATACCAGTGCTATTTTTGTCATCTGTTTCATTATTATTATATGTAATATATTACACATATATTATACTTATATATAACAGAGTAATATTGTATTATGTTATATATATTAGGTATAATTTATGGAATTTGCAGTAAGTGGAGATTTGCAAAGATTTTAGGGTTTTCAACTTTTCCCTCTTCAAATATTCAAATTGCATCTCTTATGTCATCACATCTAGGCTTACTGATGAAATTTTTAAAAATGATTACCCTAGACTGGTCAGTCATTGAGTCAGTCAATAGACATTGATGAAGCACCTAATATGTGCCAGAGGCAAAAAGTTCCTGCCTTCAAGGAGCTCACAATCTGACGGAGGAGACCACAAACAAGTTATGTACAGGAAAAATAGGAAATAATTCATAGAGGGAAAGTGTTAGAATTAAGAGGGGTTGAGAAAATCCCATCTTCCTGTAGAAGATGGGATTTTATTTGGGACTTGAAGGAAAACATAGAAACCAATAGGTGGAGATGAGGAGGGAGAGTGTTGCAGGTATGGTCAATAATACTTTGTTGTGAGACTAGTAGCTGAGAGTACCATTAAGAAAAAAATGTAGTGTGACACTTTTGCCTATAACTGATGAGATTTGTTTCCAATTTTTTGTTCTGCTAAAGTTATGACACATAATGAAAATAGTCATGTTTTCAGTCCTCTTTATGTTCACTTATCATTTTCTTGTTTTAGTGGTCAGATCCATCTGCACTGAAGCATTTCTAGCAGTTAACATTGGAATTTTTCTTTCTTTTTCTTTTTCTTTCTTTCTTTCCTTCTTTTCTTCTCTTTCCTTCTTTCTTTCTTTCTTTCTTTCTTTCTTTCTTTCTTTCTTTCTTTCTTTCTTTCCTTTTTTGGCAGAATTCCTTCTTTTATTTGGAATGGAATTTTTTGTTATAAGGTATCAAGGGCAGGGAAACTACAGCTTGGAATAGGTCTCAGCCAGCTCTGATGCTCAATAAGGATGTGTGTGTGTGTGTGTGTGTGTGTGTGTGTGTGTGCATCCATTGAAATCAATGACAATTTGTGTTCCCGGTTCCCAGTTCAACAATTAGATGTCTGACTGCTGATATTTCAAAAACCTACAAAATCAAAGGACTTTTTTCACTGTCAGCCTGGATTGATTTTTACTTTTCTGTGGGTGTGCAGTCTTCATTACTGTATATGTCTTCTCTTCTCTACTAAAATATTAGGCTCCATGAAAGCATAAGAACAGAAAGCTAATGTGATCTTAGGCTTCACTTAAAGGCATGATATCCACATTGAAGAACGTGATAACTCTATGGTACTCTGCTCTGTTTGGGCACTATCTGGAACATCGTGTTCTAGTATGGTACTACATTTTAGAACAGATGATTCATAAACTGAATAGCATCCAGAGGAGAGTAGCTAGGATGACAAAGGACCTTGTGATCATGCCATGTTAGGATCCTTTGAAAGAACTGGAGATGTTTATTTTAAAGAACTACATGCTAACTACCTAGAAAAATATCAGAGAGCTGTCATAGGGAAGAGAGGTCAGACTTGTTGAGCTCTGGTCCAGAAGGTAGAAATGGAAAAAAATGCACAGAAGTAACAAAGAAGCAATTTTAAGCTTAATGTAATGGAAAACTTCCTAACATTTATCTAGTTCTGGTGGAGAATATGGAAGAATCTTGGTATTCAAATGGTATCCTGCCTGCCACTAGCCTGCAGGTTAGGAATTGTCAAGGCATTTCACCCAGAAGTCCCTCACTTTCCCAATAAACACTTCTCTACCCAATGTTAAACAAACAAAAAAGAAAGTAGTGGCTAAGTGTACCCGTCCCTAAGAAGTGACTCTGACAATATCCAGAAAGGCTTTTCTCAGGATTTTATATCAATTTGGCCTTATAGTTAGACTGAAGGCTGGAAAAGAGCCCAACGTGCCTCATTAGGTTAGGCTCTACCACAAAGGACCTCTCATTCTTGTCCTCCAGAAACGAGCAGAGGGCCATGTGCTTGGCAAAGCCATTGCAGCAGGATATCTCAGCTAGATAGCACACTGTCTGCTGGGCTGAAGAGGCATCCATTGTAGAGGGCAGGGGCCAACTGCCTACCAGCTCTGCCAGGTCCATGCTATACAAGGAGATGAAAAGAACAAGGTAGTAGCTCAGTCTTGGGAGGTCGGTGATCTTGACATATGCCCAACCGAGCAAGGGCCCCAGGAACATCCCCACAACAAACTACTCCAGAATCCTCATGGGCTCCAGATTGAAGTAACACTGGAGCCTCTCGGGATAAGGCTTCAGGTAAAGGGCATTTCTGAGATGTAGCTCAGAGAATCTAGTTTCCAGGAGGTGCTGTAAGACACTAAAGATATGCTCTTTAGGAATGGCATCATCTTCCACCATCAAGACATATTTGGGGTTGTAGTTCTGCAGGGATTTCTCCAGGCAGTAAGCATAGTCCTGCTTCTCTTTTTCAAATGCATTCCTGGAGATACTTCTGCTAATGTTCACCCCCTTGGCACATGCGAATCGTCTGGTCATAGGGATAAAATTGGCCAGCAGCTTGGCATCCTGGCGTCTGGAGTTCCAGTCCACATCACACAAGAAGAGCTGGTGACTCAGGTATGGCTCACCACACTGCCGAAGGAAGCAACATAACTGAGATGCCACCTTGGGGCAAGGTGGTGTTCAGGGCCTGGAATGCCTTGAAGTCATGGAGAGCAGCTTTGCCCTCTCCAGGAACTCCTCACTCATCTGGTTCAAGTGCCAGTGATGCATGTAGAAGAGTGGAGGAGGTGGTGGCAGGTCAGAAGGGCCAAAATGACAAATGCTACTATCATCAAGAAGAAGAAATGGAGAGCAGGGCTGGACCAGGAGAGTAGCTGCAGCTTATGGAAAAGCCTCATGGTGGAAGGAGTGGCTGCTCTGGGTGAGTCCCATTTCTGCTGCTTCTGGTCCCAGAAGATCTGATCGTGGAAAGGAGGCCATCCTCAATAAGACTCACACCTGATTAATTCTCCTGGGCACAGCACATTGATGGCATGAATAGAACCGGACTTATGACTCTGCTAAAGCTGCCTCCTAATCTAGATGAAAGTTATTTGTCCACTGAAAATGTATACCCTGTGTCTGCCATGTTATTCAATAGATCTTGTTATGATCAATATCAAAAGACCACAGAGTCTTATCTCTGCTCTAAGCTGTTCTGAGTACCAGGTAACATTTCTGAATATCATGGTATCATTCACCCACTCTCCCATTTATAATCTGGGCAGTAACAAGAGCTGGGACACGCACTGCCCCTGGGGTGCTCATTCTACTCTAAAGGCTGCTCCTTCCCAGAGTGGGGGTCATGTCACAAATGCTGATCTCTAGCCACCAGCTCTTATCCTCTCCTCCAGCTGCCCCTGCTTCATGTCTGCCAGCCAGCAAAACTGCCTGCCCACCTGCCAGCTGACTGGAAAGGGCTAAAGTTGGGCTTTGCTACTGGGGTGGAGGGGCCATAGTCCCAATCTTCAGACTTTTCATGCTGCTGTTTTCAGAGCTAGTTCTAGGAGTCTACAAGTTTTCAGTTCTTCCAAGGTGGTATGATCTGAAGAGAGTTATGGTCACTGCTTTCCTGTCCTGTGCTCTGGTCTGTGAGTGACAACAAGCACTCTTTTGCACCTTGGAACTATACCCAGCGACTCTGCTCCTGCTAAAGCTCTTCCTTGCTCTGGGACTATAAGCTGGAACCATGTCTGGGCAATGTAACAGGGCCATGTACCCATTGCCAGCAAAGGGTCCCCTGTAGTCTCCTTCTGACCAATTGTCTGACCCCCTTATCTTCTGTGGTCTGAAAGCTCTGGAAGTTGCCTATTTGATTGCCCCTAAGATCTACTGTTGGCTTTCTGCGTGTGGCCTACACTGGACTGCCCCAGTAAGACAGAAATTTCCTGCTGACTTTTTAAGTTATCTTAGGCTGGAAAATTGTTTCACCCCATCCTTTTATTGGTTCTGCCACTCCAGAGTTCATTTTGAGGTATTGTTTTTAAAGTTGTTTGGAGCGGAATTTGGAGGAGTGCGGGAAAGACCTGCCTTTACTCCGCCATCTTAGCTACATTCCACAAGAACTCTTCACTCCCACCCCAAATACCCAATCAGCTCTCAAATCTTGCTACTTCTACGTTCCCAATATCACTCATGCCCAAGCTCTTCTCTTCGCTCACAAGACTACCACCTTAGCTCAAGCCCTCATTTCCTCTCGCCTAGATCATTTCAAGAGCCTCCCAACTGGTTTCCTTGCCGCAAGTCTCTGATCATCCTAGTCCATCCTACACACTATTGCCAAAGTAATTTTCCTTAAGAAAACATCACTCCCCTCTCAATCAACTCTGGTGGCTCCCTAAATTATAAAGTCCTTTGTTTAGCTTTTAAAGTCATATATAATAGCTCAAGTATACCTTTACAGCCTTGTTACAGACGTTACTTCCCGTTGTCACCCTCTAGATGTTGTGATTTAACGAAATTGATCTGTTCCAAACTCATGGTACTCCATCTCTCATTCCTATACTTTTGCACTGTCTTTCTCCATCCCTGAAATCTACTCCCTCCTTGCCTCCAAGTCATTCCTTTAAGGGGCAACTCAAGCACCTTCTTCTTCATGTAGCCTTCTCTAATCTCCCTTCACCTGCTAGGACCCTCCTATAGTACCTTGTATGTAACTACTTGGCTGATATATATACACACACAAAGATATATAGATATAGATATACAAAATATATATATATATATATATATATATACACATACACACACACACACACAAATATATACAAAGACATATATGTGTGTGTGTATTCATTAACTTTATATCTATACTGTCCATAGTTTTATATGCACTTCTTGTTATAGAATGTAAGTTCATTGTGAATAGAAATTATTTCATTCATTATATTTGTATCTCCAGCACCTGCCACATAGCAGGTACTTAACATAGTCCTTACTGTAAATCACTTTGCCTGGTATTCCCTTGCTTTACTATCACCTGCCCCCATTCCCATGATATGGATGAGGAGATGGACCTTGACGGGTTGTTGTTATTATAATCGTTATTATATTATTATCTTATTCCTGGTAGCACCACTTTACTTGGCATATAGTAAGTATTCAAAAAATGCTTGTTGACTTATTGAAATTATAATCATTTATAACAATGTTAATATTAATATTCCAGATTCTACTGCTTCATTGTACTACTTGGCATATATACATGCATATAAAGATATATATATGTGTGTATTTATTAACTTTATATTTATACTGTATATATTTTTATATGCACTCCTTGTTATAGAATTATAAAAGCCACTGAACTTCTCTTGGCCACGATTTCCCATTTAAAAGAAGGAGCGTAATGATATCTGCAACTCCTAACTTGTTGAGGCTGAGTTACTTCATGTAATTCCTTTGAACTCTGAGTAGGAAAAGTGTAAACTCAAGCACATCTCTTTTATCTCTCAAGCCCAGGGCAATTCTGAGCTCAATGGCTAAACACTAATCATAAATTGGCTTTTTTGAGTTTGACGAGTTTGACGTCAGTTAACTACCAGACTTTGGACCCAGACAGCTCCTTAAAGCAAAGGAAGGTTGAGAGAAGCATCATTTCCTTGTAGGATTGCCGAAAGAAAACATCCAAAATGAAAGCCTTCTTCTCACTCTCCTGCCTGCTCCTTTTCATGGCTTCTGGTAAGAAACTTCATTTTTCTTTAAGGACTTTTAGCCATTGTTGGAAATGGACTAAATAGCTTTGGTTGGCATTGGTGTGTGCAGAGTAACTGAGAGTGGCCTAACATGGCAGACAGATAGGAATTGAGATCTAGAGAAGTACTGCGATGTTCACCATCCTGGACCCTAACACGAAATTTTATTTTGATCTTTGACAAAGAAGGTCATTCAAGGGGGTGGCAGAACTAGTTTATTTTTTGTCTAGAATTATGGAATTCAGCAGACCAGGATTTGTCATGGAGTGTATCCAAAGCAAACTGTTGAATAGCCCCTTCGATGCTTCCAGGGTTTTAACCAATATCTCCATACCAGATTCCCGGACAGCTCCTTGAATGATAATAACAACAGTGCTCATGTTAATATAGCATTTTAAGGTTATAAAATACTTTTCTTACAAAAATCCTGTGAAGTATAGAGTGTAAAGACTGTCATCCTATTTTACAGATAAGCAAACTGAAACTCAGAGAGGTTGTGACAAGCCTATGGCCAAATGATGACGATGATGATGGCAGTGATGACAATAGCTAATATATAACCCATTAAGGTCTTCAAAGTGCTTTATATGTTATGTCATTTGGTCCTCACAACTACACTGTGAGACAGGGACTATTATTATGCCCCATTTTACAGATGAGAAAACTGAGGCTTATTAAAATTAAACAACTTGTTCACGGTCATATAGCTACCGAGGCAGGATTCAAATTCAGATTTTCCAGTTCTCTGTACCCCATGCCACCTAATACACAGACACTAAGTGTCAGAGATTATTTTCCTGATTTCAGCTCTAGGGAACTTTCTGCCCTAATAATAATCAGAATTGACCCTCATTATAGTGGGTAAAAACTCCCTTCCCTAAATTGCATATGGATTTGGCACAACAGGTACAGTCAATCTAACTATTAACAGGCTTAAAAAAAAAAGGAACAACAGGCTAATCAACGTTATTGGAGACAGCTCATTTCTTAAAAACTATATGATAAAGGAGAATGACCAATTCTTGTAACAGTTAAGATTTTGCAGGTTTACAGGGAAGTTTGATAATACATTAATGACAAAGCAGAAACATAATAACATAACATAAAGAGTATGCTTATCTTCTTGTTGAATGAGGCAGGCATGATTGTAATGTAAATTAGACATGCTGGTGTTTTATTAAGTTAGCTTAAGTAGAAAGCGTGGGTGTGTGACCTTAAAGGCAGCAGGTGATGTCATGGAAAGTACACGTGATTTGGAGTAAGAGGACCTGCATTTGATTCTCAGCTCTGCTTTTCAACCCTAAATCCTGCAACTGATTCAGGGAAATGTAGAAAGGAAACAAGAAGTTTGATAAGATGTGAAAAGAACTAAACACCTGTTTTAGAGAAGCTAGATGTAAGAACAGAATGTATGACTGCAAGGAATGAACATAGGAAAAATCTTGAAAACTGAAGAATGGAAGGGAGTGTCTAACAGTTTAGAGTAGCTGGTGGGCTGGGAAAGCCTTGAAGGTTGAAGTTGGCAGAACATGACTTCAGGGAATATTATTCCTCTCAAGAGTAAGGCATGGACAACCCACAAAGTAAAAATTTTACTTCTTCATGACCTAGAGGTCCAGAAAAAAAGGATCATAGAATTTAGAGCCCAAGGACACTAGAGATCCTAGCATTTTATTCTGTAAATAAGAAAACTGAAATTGAAGAAGGGAAAAAGAACTTGCCCAAAATTACAAAGATAAACTGGGCTGGGGGCTAGAAGCAAAGCCAGAACTAGAAAGTGAAACTGACAATGCTTGTCATAGCCTGACTCCTATGGGTAGTTAAGTTGCACCATATCTGCCATGACACCTAATTTTCTTTGAGCTTGAGTACCCTGGACTGCGTGTTTATAACATATCCTGAAATTCATTTTGTACCCTGAGTCCTCCCTCTATAGGATGTTGTAAAGCAGTGTCCCACTCCACCTACCTGACAGAGCAGGCATTAGGGAGGCAAGACATATGGTAGAGAAGTGCTAGATGGGAGTCCAGAACACTGTCCTAAAGATGCTATCCTAGGTTCATAGCATCATCCATCCAGCTAGACATGGAAAGGACCTCAGAAGCTACCAGGTTCAATCCCTTCATTTCACAGATGAGAGAACTGATGCCCCAATAGGGCAAGTCATCTGTCCAAGCTCATGTGGTGAGTAAGTGGTGCTTTTGCCACTGTGTCATGATATATCATGATCCCTCCTGGAAGAGGCAATTAAAAAAACTTCCAAGGTCCCTTAGCTGCTGGTGGTGGCAAAAGGTCTCCAAATGTCAAATGAAAAACATAGAATTGTATAATTGGAAGAGATATTGGAGAGCCGATGCCACAGCTATGATCAAACAAGTATTTATTAAGTGCATACTGTATTTCAGGAACTGTGCTAGGTTCTGGGGATACAAAGACAAAAAAAGAAAAAAATCCTTGCCCTCAAGGAATATACAATCTTGTGCAAAATATAGACAAAATTATTTTATTTACTTTTTTTTTTGCAGGAGGGAGAAAATAGCTTGGGGATGGGTTAGGGAAGGTTCTATGAAAAAGGTGATGTTTAGGCTGAACTTTGAAGAAAAGTAGGAATTCTAAAAGGCACAGTGCCTAACACATAGTAGGTGCTTAATAAATATTGATTGATTGAGAAGAAAGTACATTGCATGTATGAGACATAGCCTATGTAAAGACACGGAGATGGGAGATGAAGGGTCATATATGCAGAATAGCTAGAAGGACAATTTGGCTGGATCACGGGTGGTGAACCTGTGGCCCTCTAGGTCCTCAAATGCAGCCCTTTGACCAAATCCAAACTTCACAGAACAAATCCCCGCAATAAAAGGATTTGTTCTGTAAAACTTGGACTCAGTCAAAAGGCTGCACCTGAGGACCTAGAATGCCACATGTGGCCTCAAGGCCACAGGTTCCCTGCCTCTGGCTGCCAGATCACAGAAAGTAGGAATGAGTTGAGTGAAAAATAAGGTTTGGAAGGTAGGGTAGAAACAGGTTGTGAAGGCTTTTAAAAGCCAGAGTTTGTATCTGATTCTAGAGGTAGTAGGGAGCCATTCGACTTTTGCTTCAGGAAAATCATTTTGGCAGCTATGTGGGGAATAGATTAGAGGAGGGAGAGGATTGAGGTAGGAAGGCTGATTAGGAGGCCTCAACTAGGTTGTCAGCTTTGTGAATGGGAAGAAGGGAATGGACACAAGAGGGATGGAGCAGTAGTAGAAGACTTACTTGGCAACTGATTGAATGTGTGGAGTGAGGGAAAGGAAGGAGCCAAGGAGGATGCGAAGATTGCAAATCTAAGAGACTGAAAGGATGATGGTGAAAACGGGAAGGGGGGCTTTGAAAGAGGGGTGACATTGGGGATTCTCCCTTTTGGGAGTTGCCTTGGGCCCATTTTTGTTTTCATACCAACCTTGAGCAATTTATTTCCAAACCAAAGGACATATTTATTTTTGAGATAAAAAATGCACTTTTTTTCACTTGTAGAATGAATTCTACAGGTTTTGCTTGTGTCTGAAGAAAGAAGCAGTGACTTGGGCTTGAGAAAAATACTCCTGAACCTTATAATAATAATAAAAAATGTGAGAGGAGTTCACTGTTTTCTAGCACTTAGAGGTTTACAAAGCTCTTTCCACATAACAAGCCTGTGGGAGACGGGATGGAAGTATGATAGCATTTCAGTCAGAAGGAAACCTTAAAGTCAAGTCCATATCTGAATAGGAATCTTCTGTATATCCAGCTTCCCCTAGAGAACTGGGGGGCGGTAGGGAGTTGGGAGGATAGAGACTATTTTACTCAATGTTAATGCTTGGCCTAATTCTTATAGGCAAAGATTTAATTGGATGGCTCTATTCTATTTTTAAAAATTAAATAGATTTTAAAATGGATAAACATTGCCAGAATTTCTTGTAAAAAGTATTTTCCATTCGACTGATTTATTAAGTACCTGCCAAGTTCCCCACCCCAGACACTGTGCCAGTTGCTGGGGGTATAAAAAGAAAAAGAAAATAGCCCCTTTGCTCCAAGAGTTTTCTCCCAAAAGTTTGGAAGTGAGGGGTATTTTTAAGATTTCCCCTTTTCAATAACAGAGAAAAATCGTGACTTCTTTTACTAAGTGTAACATCTCATTAGATGGAGAAATAAAATTTTCCACTTTCCATCTTGAAGCTTTTTAGCATATTGTCACTGATGGACCGATTTCCCTGTTTCCATGTTGTATTTTTGCAACTGTAGACTTGTATGGTGTCACCTCTTGGTCTTTGCTGCAGGGGTTGAATGTAATTATTCTGAAAGGCTGATTTGTTTGAGGGACCAAGCTTTCTAATTGCAGGGGTTGAAATATTCAACCAAAAGCAGATCCTCTCAAGAACTATCTTAGCTAAAATCACCTAACCCCCACCATGCAGGTCCTAGTTTGTGTCAAAATCTACCTTTGTCATGTTCTCTGAACAATATCCAAAATATCTGCCCCTTACACACTTAATCAAGTTCTGGATTGGGCAAAACCAGCCAATCATGAAGGGAAATCATAAGTAGGTCCTTTTGGAAAAGGAAATATGAGCAAAGTCAGGAGAAATGAGGGCATCTGGAAGTGGGGGGAGGTGGTGGCATGATTCAGGGTTATGATAAAATTAAGAGGAAGTGGGAGTCATCATGAACTTCTGAGAATGGGAGTGATGCTATTTAAATGAGGCTGATAAAGATCCTTATTGTTTAAGAGGAGTTTAGGGGCTATGTTAATTGGGAAGGGGCAGATGGGCCAGCTAGGAGGTTACTGCCATTGGTTCTGCCCCTTAGGAGATTATGCCAGATTAAGCCAGGAAAAAGAGATAAACTATGTAACAAAAGCAATTAAACTGTCCATCCCAGATGACCCTGCCAGGTCAAAGACAGAAACAAAGGTTGCACGTTTACTTTCTGTGGTAGCAAAGAGTTGGAAACAAAGTAGATGCCCACTGATTGAGGGAATGATATATGAATATAATGGATATTATTGTGTGGTAAGCAATTATGAATGTAAGGAATCTGGAGAAGCCTGGGGAAATTGCAATGAATCGATGCATGGCAAAATAAGCAGAACTAAGAGAATGATACGCAGAATGACTACAACAATGTAAACAGAGAGATCGATAAAAGAAAGTCAGATTCTGAGGACCTGAAAGCCCAATAAAGGTACTGGAGAGCAAATAAAGAAACATACACTATATACTCCTCTAGCATCAGAGAGAGAAGAGACTACTTGGACAGACTATTAGATCCCAGACAGATATCATTACTGTATTTCATATTGTTTTGCACCATTGCTTTTCTTTTTCACGGGGGAAGAGTTCAGGCTGCAGGTGGAGCCTGAAAGGACTATGGTAAAGACAAAAAGTATCAATGAAATGTGATTTTTCAAAAAGGAAATAGAGATAAATTGTCCAAATAAAACACAGCTACCTTCTTGCCATATGATATAACAAAATACAAGACAAACTAAGTAGGCATCCCCCCTCACCCACCCACTCCTTTAGAAAAATGTATCTATCTTGTGAATTCCCAAGGAGCAGAGATCCTTGAATAAATTCAGTTCCACTGGTGTCTCGTGATGTGCATTAACCAAATTACTCCTCAGATGTCTTATCTTTTGAATTCAAATTTGGTATTTCTGTCCCACCAGGTGCTGGTCAGTCCACGTCCACCAAACAGCCCAAGACTCTATTTCAACCACAGTAAGAACGCCAACAGCCTCGGAGGACCGGAGTACGCTCGAGCCAAGCGGGACAGCAGCCACGCAGGACCCGAGCGCGGCGGCGCCCAGCGGCACAGCAGCCACGGAGGACCCGAGCGCGGCGGCGCCCAGCGGGACAGCAGCCACGCAGGACCCGAGCGCGGCGGCGCCCAGCGGGACAGCAGCCACGCAGGACCCGAGCGCGGCGGCGCCCAGCGGGACAGCAGCCACGGAGGACCGAGTACGCTCGAGCCAAGCGGGACAGCAGCGACGCGACCCGAGCGCGGGCGGCGCCCAGCGGGACGCAGCCACGCAGGACCCGAGCGCGGCGGCGCCCAGCGGGACGGCAGCCACGCAGGACCCGAGCGCGGCGGCGCCCAGCGGCAGCAGCAGGACCCGAGCGCGGGCGCGCCCAGCGGACAGCAGCCACGCAGGACCCGAGCGCGGCGGCGCCCAGCGGGACGCAGCCACGCAGGACCCGAGCGCGGCGGCGCCCAGCGGGACGGCCACGCAGGACCCGAGCGCGGCGGCGCCCAGCGGGACGGCAGCCACGGAGGACCCGAGCGCGGCGGCGCCCAGCGGGACGGCAGCCACGCAGGACCCGAGCGCGGCGGCGCCCAGCGGGACAGGCAGCCACGCAGGACCCGAGCGCGGCGGCGCCCAGCGGGACAGCAGCCACGCAGGACCCGAGCGGGCGGCGCCCAGCGGGACAGCAGCCACGCAGGACCCGAGCGCGGCGGCGCCCAGCGGGACGCAGCCACGCAGGACCCGAGCGCGGCGGCGCCCAGCGGACAGCAGCCACGCAGGACCCGAGCGCGGCGGCGCCCAGCGGGACGCAGCCACGCAGGACCCGAGCGCGGCGGCGCCCAGCGGACAGCAGCCACGCAGGACCCGGGCGCGGCGGCGCCCAGCGGGACGGCAGCCACGCAGGACCCGAGCGCGGCGGCGCCCAGCGGGACGGCAGCCACGGAGGACCCGAGCGCGGCGGCGCCCAGCGGGACGGCAGCCACGCAGGACCCGAGCGCGGCGGCGCCCAGCGGGACAGCAGCCACGCAGGACCCGAGCGCGGCGGCGCCCAGCGGGACAGCAGCCACGCAGGACCCGAGCGCGGCGGCGCCCAGCGGGACAGCAGCCACGCAGGACCCGAGCGCGCGGCGCCCAGCGGGACAGCAGCCACGCAGGACCCGAGCGCGGCGGCGCCCAGCGGGACAGCAGCCACGGAGGACCCGAGCGCGGCGGCGCCCAGCGGGACGCAGCCACGCAGGACCCGAGCGCGGCGGCGCCCAGCGGACGCACGCAGGACCGAGCGCGGCGGCGCCCAGCGGGACGCAGCCACGCAGGACCCGAGCGCGGCGGCGCCAGCGGGACGCAGCCACGCAGGACCCGAGCGCGGCGGCGCCCAGCGGGACGCAGCCACGCAGGACCCGAGCGCGGCGGCGCCCAGCGGCAGCAGCCACGCAGGACCCGGACCTGATCACACAACCCATGCAAGCTACCAGTCAAACTCCATCAGCATCTGGTAATAATCCCACAATAGCTAAGAAAATTCCTCTCCTCATCCTAGTCAACATCAAAGAAGAGTCTCTGAGTAACCACAGAAAGCCTTGCAGAGGTTGTAGGGAGCCTGACTGATGAGCTTTCCCTAAAGGAGTAAAATATCAGAGACTGATAGTAAATAGTAAAGCCCCAGAAGGATGCCCCTTTCAGTAGGTCCACTGAACGCCTCACTGTAGCTTTCCTGTTTCCTCCTTTTCTGTGGGCCTCTCCTGTTTGCCTAAGCTTCTTCTAGTTTGGCCAGCCTACTTTTATGAGTCCCAGGAGCAGAAAGTCCCATCTACATTCACAGGGACTGAACATTTGTGGGCTTATATTTTGAAGAGGGAGAAGGAGGAAATCAACATATATTAAGTGCTTACAATGTGCCAGGCACTGTGCTAAATGTTTTACTAATATTATTTTACTACTATTATCTCATTTGATAACTCTGTAACTCTCACAGTAACTCTGTGAGGTAGTTGCTGTGATCCCCATTTTTCAGTTGAGGAAACTGAGGTAGTCAGATTTTGTGACTAGCCCAGTGTCACACAGCTAATGAGTATCTGAGGCCGGATCAGAGGTTAACCTGAAGAGGTTGGAATGAGGGGAAAGAAGGATATCTTTCTGCCCTTGCCTCTTCTCCCCAGCTTTCTCTTTGAGCAGGGAGCCTTCATGACAATTATTTCAGTTTCGGAGAAGGCCTGAATAGGCCCAGCAGGCAAATTGGTCGTAGCCCTGCCAAACCTATGACCTGTCCTGCCAGTTTCATAGGCCACAGGCAGGTCACAGGCCATGCCATGAGCTTTGGGTTTGTGGAAAAAACTGCATAATCCCCTGGTACCAGGGACAGAACCACCATCTCCAGCTCAGATGCTTTGGAATCAACACCATCTAACGTGCCTTTCTAACTGTAGTTGTCTCTCAGTCATTTTTTCAGTCATGTCTGACACTTTGTGACCCCATTTGGGATTTTCTTGTCAGAAATGCTGGAGCGGTTTGCCATTTCCTTCTCCAGCTCATTTTACATACGAGACAACTGAGGCAAACAGGGTTAAGTGACTTGTCGCACAGCTAGTAAGCGTCTGAGGGCAGATGTGAACCCAGGTCTTCCTGAATCCAGGCTTAGTACTCTATTCATTGCACCAGCTAGCTGCCCTGAAGTTCAGAGGCCAGGCTTCTAATTCTGGCTTAATAGCTGATTTGTTGTGTGACCTTGGGCATATCACCTAATGATTCTGAGACATCATTCTGAAGGTTCGGTGGTGTTTGTCCTGAGAGCTAGGGCAGAACAGGTATCTTTAGAAACGGAGAATTAAAGTGACCTTGGGGGTCATCTAGTTCAATCAATTTATTTTCCAGAAGAGGAAGTTGAGGCCCAGAGAAGTCAAGTAACTTGTCCAAGGACACACAGTGTCACCTGTGTCAGAGCAGGGACTAGAACTCAAGTCCTCCCCACTTTACTCTGAGGTAATGCTTTGGGAACACTTTGGAGGACTCCCACCTACTTTCTCTCCAATACACATAGAGCTAGAAAGAATTTAGATGCCATTTTACAAGTCAAGGAAACTGAATCTGGGAGAATTTGATGGCTTGTCCAGGGTTCCCCAGGCACTAAGTACCTGAGGCAGAATTCAAACTGTAGCATCCTCACACCAAGCCCAGTGGGCCAGCTGACTGTCTCCATATCCCCAAGTATTTTCCTTACACTTGTTTTTTCAGGGCCCAGAAGACAGAGTTATTGACTCTCATAGATTTAGGGTTGGAAAGGATCCCAAAAGTTTTCTAGTGACTAGATTCTAATCCAATCTCCTTATTGTAAGATTGAGGAAACTGAGGCCTGAGAAGTTGTGACTTAACCAAGGTTTCGCCTCTATATTTCAAATCTAGACCTTTTTTTTTTTTTTGGCTGGGCAATGAAGTCAAGTGATTTGCCCAGGGTCACACAGTTAGTAAGTGTCAAGTGTCTGAGGTCAGATTTGAACTCAGGTTCTCCTGATTCTAGGGCTGGTGCTCTATCCACTGTGCCACCTATGTGCCCCCAAATTTTTTTGGGGGGGCAGTTAAGGTTAAGCAACTCACCTAGGGTCTAGTCTGAAGCCAGATTTGAACTTAGGTCCTTCTGACTCTTGGGCCAGTGCTCCATCTTCTGTGCCACCTAGCTGCCCCCAAATCTAGACTTTTTTCTACAGCATCCTGGAATACCACCTTACCCTTCTACTACCTCTAGGTCTCTATAGTCCCCACCCTCTATCTACTTCCTTATTTGTCATTTCTTTAGCCAGCACCAGGGAAAAAAAAGTGACTAATAGTCCCACGGGACTTTACCAGTCAGGTTGCCTATCAGTTAGTCTGCCCTTTGGCCTGTAATAAGTGTTATTTTTCAGCATACACCCAGATAGACATAGAGAAAGACACAGACAGAGACACAAAGACACAGAAAAAGACAGGAAGAGAGAAAAGGAGAACATTTATTTTTATTCTTTCAAAGAGATCTGAATTGAATAAAGCTTTACCCAATGGTTTAAATGAAATCTGTCTAGAAGTGGAGGGAAAAGCAAGAAGGCCCTTCCCATTCAAAGATTCCTGGCAGGGATCTGAAGCAGAAATTGTTTTATTCTTGATTACATCCAGGCCCTGTCTACTAATTCCTGAAGCTTACTGGCAACAAAGCATTCGGGCTCCAGGGGTCAGCAGGAGAAGCAAAGCGGGTGGGCAAAAAAGGCAGCAAAGCCTTGTACATATTGCCTTCCCTTTTGAGAGCTAAGATGCTGAGGCATCTAAGATGTGGGGTAGAGACATTTGTATAGATGCAGGAGGGCACAGTTATTACAACATTTGAATCTGAACCTCATTGGGTGAGGTCATAGTGAATCCTTCAGCTCTTCCATTTTCTATCCTAGTTCCTGATGAGCTTTGTACAGAGAAGATATGTTACGGTTCTTCTGAGTGTATAGAGCTGAACACTACATCCTTTTGCCTGTGTCCAGAAGGGTATTACTATAAGGACTCCCAATGTAACCAAGGTATGTTGTACCCCATCCTACCAGTATTTGGAAAACCAAATCTTGTTAAAAGAAACTTATGCATACACACACACACACACACACACACTCACTCACTCACTCACTCCCTTTTGATTTAACCAGTGTAGTGAACTCCCTTCACCAATGTAGATTTTTTTTTTTCATTTCATTTGTGGCTTACATAAGATCTTAGCCAGTTTTCTAGGGCATGGAGAAGCTTCAGTGACTTTTGTCCATGGTCACACAGCTAGTATGTGTCAGAGACAGGATTTGAACCCTGGTCTTCCTGTCTTAGAGAGGGCTTCATTTCTTCTACCATACCTATGCTGCCTGCTTCCTGGTCCCTCAACCACTGTGGCAAAAAATAATTCATGAATTCAAGAGATTACAAGAAAGTATAAGTAGCTTCTGTTACTGAGTTATTAAAGAAGGGTAAAAAACCAGTATCTTCTTTGGACTAAACAGCCAGATTAAGGACCAGGACAAAATGATCATTTGTTTAACTTCAGAGAATATATAGCCCTCTATCACTAAGTCAAAATGGCTGAACGTTTATATTGTATTACTCTGCCTTAACAAACTTCTTTTTTTAAGTGACTTTTAAAAAAGTAGGACCCCAAGGAAATTTTCCCTTGAAACTGAAGCAGAATATAGATGATAGATTTTTAGAAGCAGAAGGAAATTTAGAGACTACTGAATTCATCCAGATGAATTCAGGCCTGAAGACAAGAGAAGAGATGACTTGTTTAAGGATGCATGGCTAATTAGTGACAGTGCTGGGTTTAGAACTCAAATCTCTTGACTCCTGGTCCAAGAGTCTCTCAGGCATGCCATAATCCCAGTCTCCTTTGGCCTGGGCTACAACTTTCTGTTGAACTAGAGTTTGGATTTCTTTTCAGTGTGCTTTACACTGTTGTTGTTGCCTGACTCTTCATGAGTCCATTTTGGGTTTTCTTGGCAAAGATACTGGAGTGGTTTACCATTTCCTTCTCTAGCTTCTTTTACAGATGAGGAAACTGAAGCAAAGAGGGTTAAATGACTTGTCCAGGGTCACACAGCTAGTAATCATTTGAGGCCAGAGTTGAACTCAGGGAGATGAGTCTTCTTGACTCCATGCCCCGCACTCTTATCTACTGTGCCACCTAGCTGTCCCAGTAAGATAAAATGGGGCAGATTCAGAGAATAAATTCAGGCAAAGTGCTATGAGAACTTTGAGGAAGGAGAAATCACTTTCTCTTTGAGGGTTTGATGAGGGTGTGGGGTGGGGTGAGAAATCAGAGAAGGCTTCATGAGAGGTGACTCTTAAAATGGACCATAAAAAAAGGTAAAGGCTTCAACAGAGAGAATCAAGAGCTGGAAGAGCCCTTTCCAGGCCTAGGAATGAAGGATGAGAATAGTAGGAGAGAAGACTACCAGGAAGGACAATTTGCCTGGAGCAGAGTATGTGAAAGGAAGTAAGTGTCAGGGAATAAGGCTGGGGATAGATTGTGGAGCCCCTCCCGTGTCAAAATGTAGAATTCATACTTTATTCTACAGACAATGGAGGAGCCACTGAAAATTTCTGGGCACTATGACCATTGCATTAGCAAAGTGATTCAGGTGGCAGTATACAATAGGTTTGAAGGGAATAGACTGGACCCCAAAAGACTAGGTGGGGACTATCAAAAGAGTTTAATTCCTCTTTCACATGACAGCTCTTTAAAGATTTGAAGAGGCCTATCATATCCTCCCCTAATCTTCCCTGCTCTAGGTTAAACACCCCTTTGAGGAAGATTAAAAACTCTTTACCTGAGTAATATGTCATCTGTGCATTTATTTTCAGGAAGAACATTCCCTGGGATGGTTACAATATTAGAGTATTTATCAGACCTGGATAACAAAAACTCCCCAAACTATCAGAGTTTACATTTCAAAATAGAAAAATTGGTAAGTTCTTTTTTAATCTTCACAAATATTCTTAGAGGTCTTTACATGAATTTTGTATGGTAATAATGGTAATATGGTAATAATAATAGTTCACAATTTTATTTTGTCTTTTAAGTATTTTGAAGCAATCTAATATACATGATCTCATTTGATCCTTATGATAGCCCTTTGAGGCCAGTGTTATTGTTCAGATGAAGAGCCTGAGGCCTAGAGAGGTTTATGTCCTTGTCCAGAGATGCACAGCTATTAAGTGGCTGTGATTGAAACATGAGTTCACCAGCGCTTTAGTCACTACACCCTGCTGCCTGGTGGAAAACAAAGCCCAACTGAGAAAATCATTAAAAAATGGATGGAGAAACTATTAGATGGTGTTTTAAAAAATTAAATGACTTGATGATTTTTAAAAGACAGCCCCCCAAAAAGGCAACTAAAAAATCATACTGCACACTTTCTTTTTAAGTTCTAAAAGTTGTCGTTTTCCATTCCTTGGCTTCATTGTAACTCATCTTGGACAGAAATAGAATCTGAACTCATGTAAGAATTCATGTAGAATTTGAATTCATGAATTCATGTAATTCAACATAAGCACAAGAGGCATTTTTCTTTTCTGAATTGGTTATGGTTTCATTCTATAAGGATGACTAGCCAAGGTGAGAAGCACTGTTTGGTGGAAACAGTATTTGACCTGTAGTTAAAAACCTTCCAGGCCATCCTTCCAACCCTTACTGCTAATTTGATGTAATGTATTCTTTTTTTTTTTTTGAGGCAGTTGGGTTTAAGTGACTTACCCAGGGTCACACAGCTAGTAAGTATCTGAGGCTGATTTGCAGTCAAGTCCTCTGAACTCCAGGGCCAGTAATCTATCTACTATGCCACCTAGCTGCCGTGTAATGTACTCTTAATTAAGAACACTCATTAGGGATCTAGGGTCTCCCAATATAGACATTTACTAGATGGTGACTTAGAATTGCAAGCCCATCCTCTTAAACTAGTATTTAACTGGGTTTTGGTCTCTAGAACATGCCGCTCTACTAAGAATAAGGCCACTAAACTATTAGGTTTAATTAATTCATTTAATAATAATAATAATGAATAAAAATTCATTTAATGAGTGCCAACTAGTGTGTGCCACGATAAGAGCTGTGTGTTTCACTGTTTCTGTTGAGGGTCTTATCACCTTTCCAGGCACAAGGTTGACAATCTGGGTGCCGTCCTTGATTCTTCACTCACCCTTCCCCAGGAGGACACTGGTAAATGTTTAATGACCAGCTCTGGGACACATTTTAAAATTTCATCTGCATTGTCAACATTTTCTCCGTCCTTTTCTTGAGACCAAACAACCCATCAAACAATAAATCCAGACCTGCTTTGTAGTTCTTGTGATTTTTTGAGGCATACATGCTGACACTGAAAATGAACACTCAGCACTCTTGGGCTTGTCTGAGCTGGCTCCAATACATCCCTGTCTTTACCCCACATAGCTACTTAGTTGCCAAATCTTACCATTTCCACCTCTGCAACACCTTTTGCATCTGTCTCTTTTTTTCCACTCATGCTCTTTCACCTCCCTTTTTCCGGTCTTTATCACCTTTCACCTGGATGGGGTTAAGTTACTGGCTTTTGGTCATGCAACTCTTAGATATCTGCATGACTTTTTTTTTTTGGCTAGGCAGTGGAGTTAAGTGACTTGCCCAGGGTCACACAGCTAGTAAGTGTTATGTGTCTGAGGCCGCATTTGAACTCAGGTCCTCCAGAATCCAGGGCCAGTGCTCTATCCACTGTGCCACCTAGCTGCCCAACTCTTAGGTATCTGAAGCAGGATTTGAACCTGGGTTCTTCTGACTTCAAGTTAAGAACTCTAGCCGCTATCTCATGCTGGATAATAACAACAACAATAACAATTAGTATTTACGTAGTACCTGTAGTGTGCCAGCTACTGTGCTAAATACAAATACTACCTCTTATGATCCTTACAACAACCCTGAGAGGTAGGTGCTACTGCTTATCTCCACTTAAAGTCAAGGAAACCAAGGCGAACAGGATAAATGAATTTCTCAGGGCCACATAGCTAGTAAGTGACTGAGCCGAGATTTGAACTTGGCTTTTTCTGACTCCGAGCCCAGGGCTCTTTGCACTGCACTGCCTAGTATTGAATAGAAGAGAAATAGTGATAAAAGTGTTCTTTAAGAAAAAACTTAGATAAATGTCTGTATGCTGACAAATGGTGTCAAACTCATTTCTGTTGGTACCTGAATTTCACTTTCATATGACCATAATCATGATCAAAATTATTCTTCTCTTTTATAGTTTGCATCTGCATTTGCTGATAACACTACATATGGACAAACAGTAATTCTCAACGTACAGTAAGTTGGGGGCTGCTTCTGTCCTCGTTTTCCCTAATGGTCTGTGCTACCTCATCTCTCTGTCTTTCTTGCCACAAGACACCATTTTTAGTCTTCCCTTGATGCCACTGCCTGGATGTGGGGAAGTGGGAAGAACAACTTGTTTTAAAAACTCTTTCGAAAAAGGGGCCGAGATTTGTTCTGCACATTGTAAGGAACAGATTTTCTGATTCAGGGCTTCCTGACTAAACAAACAAAAATAATTATATATGTAAACAATTTTATATATGTGTGTGTGTGTGTGTGTATTTAATTTTTAGGCAATTGGGGTTAAATGACTTGCTCAGGGTCACACAGCTAGTAAGTGTCAAGTGTCTGATCTGAGACCAGATTTGAACTCAGGTCCTGCTGACTTCAGGACCAGTGCTCTATCCACTGCATCACCTAGCTGCCCTGAAAATAATTTTTAAATTACTCCTTCTCCTTTCTACTTCTTCCTTGAAAACAAGTCTTTTTATTGTTCAGTTGTTTTAGTTGTGTCTGACTCTTCATGACCCCATTTGGGTCTCTCTTGCCAGGGATACTGGCGTCATTTGCCATTTCTTTCTCCAGCTCATTTTACAGATGAGGAAACTGAGGCAAATAGGGTTAAGTGACTTCCCCAGGGTCACACAGCTAGTAAGTGTCTGAGGCCAGATTTGAACTCATGAAGTTGAGTCTTCCTGACTTCATTCACAGCACTCTCTCTACTGGGACACTTCAGGCACAGGAGTAATAGCACACACTTGCTGGTAATAAAAGCCTGAAAGCAGTAATCTCTCTCTTTTTTTTTAATTATCATTTCTTATAGTACTTTGAGGTTTGCGTAGCACTTTACAAATATTATCTCATGTTGTCCTTATAACAATCCTGGGAGGCAGATGCTATTATTTCCTCCATTTTACAGATGAAGAAACTGAGACAGAGGCTAACTGACTTGCCCAGGGTCACACAGATAGTTGTTTCTGAGGCTGGACTTGAACTCAGGTCTTCCTGACTCCAGATTCAGTGCTCTATCCACTATGACACCAAATTGCCTCCCAAAGGATCATTGGCTAACCCTGATTTCATTGGGAATGCTGACAGATCCCTTCCAATGTGAGTTAGGTAATTCCAAGTCAGCTAAACTAAGGAGTTTAGGTTTGATTGAATAGAATAAAGGTTCCTGAACTTAATTGGCCTACCACCCCCTTAAAAAAATACTTTCTTTAACTCTTCAAGGGTTTTTTTAAAAAATAAATTTGCATCATTTCAAAAAAATATAAAATGTTTTTTAAATGATGTCTTAAATTTAATAATTTATTTTAAATTTGTGCTTTTTTGCCTGCATTGAAATTTTGATGACAATATTGAGTCATGTAAGTATTGTATTGTAAACAAGTCATTACACTTACATATTCGTACTGATTTATGCAGGACTTCCCAACAACTTGTGATGGGCTTGGCTGCCAACACTTGCTTGTTAAGACCTGTCAGAGTCCTTGACCACTGATGGGTTATAATTTGCATTTTGTGGGTTTATTTGGAAAATAACGTAATTACTACAACTTTAACTTTGTTATACAACAAATGAAACATTTACGAACAGTTTTTCAAAATTTCTTTTATCTTCCCTTCTTTCCTTATGCTTCCACTGCCCTGCTATCTAATGCCCCCAAGGTTATTTGCACCTAAGGTTACTACTGCCCCCACTCCCCCACCCACCCAATTGTTCTAGGCCCCTGAGAGGGCAGCATAGCTGCCTTTTGGAACTTTCTATCAGAACTTTGAATTAGTTTTCAGGGTTGGGGGCAGTAAGTAACTTTCCCTCAGGGTCCTCAAGCACAATCTGTGATCTGCTTAGTATTTATCCTCCTCATTTCTTTCCAGACCATCTGCAGTAACCAGATCTGAAATGCGCAGCAGTACAGGCGAAGTTGATGTGTGGGTCGTAAACATATTTGACAAAAATTCAGATATGACACTGGATGATGTCAGTAAAACTATTGAGACTCAAATAGGCAACGATATTATTTCTTACCGAGGTAAGATTGGCATAATTTCATTTAAAATTCACTGGAAGATTTGCCAATTTGCAAGTCCAAATGAGAACCACATTTGCATGAGATATAGAAATAAGCTTTTCAAAGAAAGCCTTAAAAATTAAACCTACAGAGAATATCCATGTTTCATTTTAGCCATTCATTCCTTTTGCTTCTACTTTTTGAATCCTCATAGTTGCTCAGAAAGAATCAAAATGACAAGTTGAATTTTCTTCTTTGCTTCTCATATCCAGGTCCCCATTGGGAGAGTGAGAAAGTGGCCAGGGGACAGGGAGAGAAAGAAAAAATGAGATAGCCATGCCCAGATAGATACATAGCTTTCTAAAGGAGCCAAAAAGCACACTGGGATTTTTGCCAACTTGGGTTTCTTTCTGTCCTGATCTTTGGCACATGGGACAAATATAATACTTTCCTGTTGTCACTGACATGGCCTGTGAAAAATAACACTGATAGAAACTTTGAAAGATCCACTTTGAATAATAATATAGAAACTTTGAAAGATCCACTTTGAATAGTATTAACGTTAATTTTTGTTGTTCAGTTGTGTCCAACTCTTTCTGACCCCATTTTGGGATTTTCTTGGCAAAGATCCTAGATTGGCTTGCCATTTCCTTCCCCAGCTCATTTTTTTTATAAATGAGGAAACTGAGGCAAACAAAGATTAAGTGACTTGGCCAAGGTCACACAGCTAGAAAGTGTCTTTGTTTGTTTTTTGTTGTTGTTGTTGTTGTTGTTTTTTAAAGTGAGGCAATTGGGTTTAAATGACTTGCCCAGAGTCACACAGCTAGGAATATTATGTGTCTGAGGTCACATTTGAACTCAGGTGGTCCTGACTCCAGGGCTGGTGCTCTATCCACTGCATCACCTAGCTGCCCCAGCTAGAAAGTGTCTGAAGCCAGATTTAAATTGAGATCTTCCTGACTCTAAACCCAGTGCTCTATTCACTGTGCCTAATCCATGTTAAGATCATAGCTTCCGTAAGGTACTTTTCAATGCAGTAGCAAACAGGGAAGGATCCCTCAGGTATATTTTTTAAACTAAAATTTTATTGATATCTTTTGTTTGTTTATATTTCACCTACATGTTTCCCAATGTATCTTTTCTTCTTCTCCTCCTCCCAGAGAGCCATCCCTTACAAAGAGCAAAAAGGAGAAAATAAAACCAGTTCAGCAAAATCTAACCAATACATTGACTAAGTCTGACATCGCAGTATGCAGTTGTCTCCATTCCTAGTCCCTCAGCTCTCCACAGAAGATGGGGATGTGCCTTCTCAAATCCCTTCTCTAGGGCCAAGCTTGGTCATTATAATTTCGTAGCATTCATTTTTCTATTGTGATGTTGTGGGCATTTTTTCCCCAGAAATCAATTAATCAATAAGCATTTGTTAGGCACCTACTTTCCACCGGGCACTGCGCTAAGCCATGATGATACAACGACAAAAGTGAACCAATCTCTGTCCTCAAGGAGTCCATATTCTAATACAGAAAGACCATATGTACCATTATAAATGTGATATGTACAAAATGGATATAAGGTAGTTAAGGAGGAGAGGGCATTAATAGCTCAGGGAATCATGTAGAAGTCTTTGAGCTGAGTCTTGAAGGAAACCACACACATTGAGAGGAGGAGGTAAAGAAATTGATTCTAGGCATGGAGTGCAAAAGCATGGAGAAGGAAGATAGAACATTGTAGGTGTAGACAGCAAATAGGTCCATATAGTTGGGGTTTGCATTTTGTGGAAAGGTAAGAAGGGCCAAGTTGTGAAAGAATTTCATTGCCAAACAAAGGAGTTTTCCCTTTGATTCTGATGTAAGAAGGGATCACTGGAATTTATTGAAATGGGAGGGGGGGTTGTTTAAGGATGACGTGGACAGACCAGTGCTTTAGAAAAAACACTTTGGCAGCCAAGAGGAAGATGGAATGGAGAAGGAAGAAGCATGAGACAGGGAGACCGAATAAAATTGGCAGCTGATGGGATAGATAGGATACACAAAAATGAGAAGGTGAGAATACAAATCTGGGAAACTGGAAAGATGGCTGTGCCTCAGCAGCAATTGTGAAGTTCATTAAAAGGATGGGTTTAGAGTTCTATACATAGTGAGTTTGAGATGCCTACGAGACGTCCAGTTCAAAATGGCCAGTAAACATTTGGTGATGTGAGACTGGAGCTTAGGAAAGAGAGTGGGAGGCATTGGCACAAGGATGGTAATTGAACTCCTGGGAGTTGCTGAGGTCATCACCAAGTGTGTAGAGAGAAAAGAAGAGGAACCACTCAGAGTTAGTGACAGGGACAATGAATAAGAATAAACTAAGTAGGAATGGTCAGACAGGTGGGGGGAGAACCAAGAGAGGGCAGTGTCACAAATATCCAGGAGGAGAGAAGGCCAAGAACATTCCTGTCATGATTATGTGTATTGTTTTCCTGATTCTGCTTTCTTCACTCTGCATCAAGTTCCTGTAAGCCTTTCCATGCTTCTCTGTTTACATCATATTAAACATTTTGAGAGAAATTATTATTCCTCTATTAATAGTCAATTATTAAATTAGGATTGAGGGTTTTTTTTTTCCTTTCTATTTCTTTATTTAGAGATCAGTCCTTGTAGGTCAATCAGTCTCTGAAGCACAGGGCTAATGATGAGATTGGCCTAATCTCCAGGAATATTCTCCTCAGTCTCCCCACCCAACTAAGAGAGTTTACTTTGGATCAAAATGTAAATAGAATCTAATTTTAAGGTGAATTTCAGCCCTAAAAACCTTAGGCTCATGCCCTTTCCCTCCCATTGTTCAATTTGAGCAGGCTGGGTGGAGATGTGAATCTTGGTCTAAATAGCTGGAGGCAACTGTGTCTCAAGATCTATCCTAGTTCTCAGTTGGAGGAGCTGAAGGCTTTAAGTCCCCCCTCCCCCATTCCCCCCTCCCCCGGCCCATTAATTGCTCACTAATCGGGGTTGATTTGTGCCTGTCAGGGGCACCTCCTTTTCCAAAGGCATTTAAGTATTCAGCAATCTCCAAGGTTTTATCTTTGGTTACCAGAGAGAAACCACTGACCCTCAATTTATTGATTATTTTCTAGCCTATAAATAAATAGATTATTAATTACCCAGAGACTCTATTTCTTGGGCTTTTCATTCATCTCAGTTTCTTACTGGTGCAGTCTAGGGGTTCTGAGAACCCAAAAATCCAAGGGCAAAAGATGCATTTCCTGCCTTGAAAGAATTTGACTCCAGCCTTCTTTCTGTGAGAGACAAAGGTTTATTAAAACACCGGTTGGGGTGGGCAAGATTCCTAATGAGACTGTGCTATTGGCCAGATTTTAAGAACCCGAGCAATTTAGCTGAAGCAAGATGGACCTTTTATACAGAAAGACTGTGGGAAGATCTGGATGTGATCTACAAGTAACCAAGTAGTCTGGGGTGACTGGGAGGCAACAGAGAAGGGATCTAGATGGAATTAAGGGTGGAAAGTGGCCAGGGATTATCCAGAGGTAACAGACAATGAAGTGCTGGGCTGGGTTAGAGGTAACAGAGAATTGGAGATAGGGGCAGGGTCAAAGCCACAATGCAAGGACAGTTGAATTATTAACTGGGAAGGGCTGGGTGCCCTGTCAGGGACCTGGATCATGGGGGAAATCCAGGGCCTTTTAGGGGTCCATCATTAGTGCCCATCATTACCACAGGGTAATAGCATTTTAATTAATTAATAATTCACATGCAGCAACTTGCTTAGCCATTCTCCAATGGATGGTCACATTATTCACCTTCCAGTTCATTCCTGCCATGAGAAGTTCAACCATATGTTTTTAATAACATGACAATTTGCCTATGCCCTACAAAGGGCTCCTTTCAACATGAAAGAGAGGTCTGTACCAAGAGTTGAACACCACCAACTTCCTGAATAAGTACTGATCTGTTCACTTTCCTCATTTAGCTGAGAATCCATGTGATTTCAACGGCTGCAAAAATGACGGTGAGGATTGCTCAAATGGCTTTACATGCAACTGCCTGCAAGGATTAGCAAGACCCACTGGTTCATCTTCTTGCACAGGTAAAGTAATGGCTGTTTTTCTGCTGCTCATCTCCTTTCATGTTTGTATTGCCACCTGCCCTGGCATTTCTGTCTAATTTGAGTTTTAGATTTAGATGTTGAAACCATGGATGCAGGGGTGGGGAACCCGTAGCCTCAAGGCCACACGTGGCTTTCTAGGTGTGTGTGGCCTTGGGTGTGGCCTTTGGCTGAGTCCCGAGTTTTACAGAACAAATCCTTTCATTAAGGGGATTTGTTCTGTGAGGTTTGGATTCAGTGGAAGGGCCGCATTTGAGCACCTAGAGGGCCACATGTGGTCTCAGAAGCCACAGGTTCCCCACCCCTAGAGGGGCTAGGGCACTAGACTCAGAGTGAGGAAGACCTGAGTTCAAATCCTGCCTCAGACACTTACAAGCTGCATAATCCTGGAAAAATCCCTGTGTCTCAGTTTCCTCATCTGAATGGGAGGCAGCTCAGCATCAGCATCCGCATCATAATGGGGACCTTAAGGTTTGCAAAGCACTTTACATATGGCCCCTATAAATGCAGGTGCTACTATTATCCCCATTTTCAAGATGAGGAAACTGAAGCTGAAAAAGATTGAGTGACTTGCCAAAAGGTTATACATCTGATCTGAGGTGGGGATTTAAGCTCAGAACTTCCTCAGGCTGAGTTCCAGTGTTCTCTCCACCACACCAAGTTGCCTCCTCATAGAATACAGAGTGCTGGCCTCAGATGCAGGAGAGCTCGGTTCAAGGTTCACTTCTGACACATACCGACTGTGTGACCCTGAACAAGTCATCTCTTCGTGATCCAGGAAACTCTATAAGAAAAACACCAGACAACAAAATTAGCATGTATATTTGTTACAAAGATCTTTGCTTTGTTTTATTTTTAATGGAGGAGAGGGGAAAGGAAGAAGAGGGAGAAGAGAAAAATTATTTATTAGTTGAAAAAAAAATTAAGACCGAAAAAGAAAGAAATTTTCTAAGACAAGGGTTCCCAACATTTTTTTTTCCAGACACTATACCCTATGGCTTTTTAATAAACTTTCTCATTCTTCATCCTTAATATGAAAGGGAATAAATTGTAGCATATCACACACATATGTATAAATATATATATGTGTATATATATAGATATACACAGAGACATATATATATATATATATATATATATATGCACATAAGAATTTGAATAAAGAGATTAATGAATTTTTTCCAAAGATACACCAAAATTTTTTGTGACATCATTGACTAGAAATCAATTCAGAGTTTCAGGAATATCTCAATGAATGTACCTTAGGTTGGAACACTTGTTTTAAGAGTACCCCTTAGGTCTGCAGTGGTAGGGGAACAGATTAAGAAACCCAAAGGGCTGGGGATCGTGGGCTCTTAAGGGCAAAGCTGTGGTTGCCAATGTTATCTTTGAAATCACGTTTTCTCAATGCCCTCTACAGATTGTTCTTCTGACTGTAGTGAAATAAATAACAAGCAATGTATTAAGAAGACAAACTCTCGGATTCCAGAGTGCCAATGCCTGCCTGGCTACATCAGTGAGGACGAAACCTGTCGAGAGTAAGTAGAATAACCTTCAGCTATTTTGCCAGAAGTGGGCAAAAAAGAGGTGAGTCAAGTTGGCACTGGCTGATAGACACAACAGCTCATGGACTGAAGATATAGCCTTGGGCCGTGTGAAGCATGAGTCTAAGCCTCTGGAGACTTGGGTTGCAGGCCCAACTCTATTGTATGACCTTGGCTCACAAATCATTTCCTCTGGTCCTCCACTGCACAAAAGGCATTGGACTAGCAAAGCACAAAGCCCATGGTTCTATGAATCTATTGCTGTAAAGCTGAGGAGTTCCTCCCGCAAGATTTGGAGGACAGCAAAGGGACTGGGCTCTTTAGTCAGAGGTGCAGAGAGCAGGTGGGCTACTTAGAGAGAAAGAGGGAGGGATGGAGGAGAACTTTGACATGACTAACTCCAGAAGTCTTTTAACTCGGTTTTCTATTATTTATTCCTGCTCAGATGTGACTTTGGATACAGTGGAGTAGACTGCAAGGACAGTGAGTATAATCATTCATTCTAGTATTTACCATGTGGGAAATGATCATGAATAATGTACCCTCTTGGAGACTGGCCTTTATAGCCTTCCAGCAGATGCTTATCAATTAAACACAGTTCAACAAAATGAGTACTGTTCAAGGCACAATGAAAAGCAGACGATAAAAAGATTAATAATCTTAGTGCCCTTCCTCTGGGAAAGCCACTAATGCCTAACTCCATTTTATCCCGTATATATTGGCTTGTCCATAGTTGTTTGCGTATCATCTCCCCATTAGATTATAAGCTTCTGGAAAGAAAGTGACTTTTTAAAAAATTTCTTTGTGTCCATGTCTCAGTATTGTTGTCTCTAAAACAAGGGGGAGGGGTGGACTAGAAGATCTCTACGTATCCTTCTTGTTTTAAGTCTATCCTCCCAAGACACTGTTGAGGAATTCTGTTTATAAAATCCATGGATTCAGATTTTGCTAAATTACTTACAGAAGCCATTTTGGAATAATTCCATTCTATGGCATTAGGTGTCAGAGGTGATACTGCTATATGGCAACTAAGATGCGTTTAGCTTTCCAGGGGTGTGAAAGATGTAGATGTTCTCTGCCCAAACAGCCATTGTGGGGTACAGGGGCAAGCTGAAGAGAAATTAATCTGTAGGTCGAAGGTATTTACTAATGGTGTTGCCCCTCTGTCTTTCAGACTATATACTGATCTTCACTGTCGTGTGCACCATTGGTGGGGCCATTCTACTGGGCACAATAATTGGGCTGATTGTCTTAGCCAGGTACAAAATGGTTCTTTTCCAGCTCTGTAACAATTAATGCCTTGGGTTGATCTATTGCTTTCAAATCATAGAGCCAGGAAGGGATTTCAGAAGCCATCTGGCTCATCCCTCTCGTTTTACCATTGAACCCCATCCCCAGGCTCAGAAAGGTTTGGTAATTTGCTCAACGTTACACAGTAAATGTGACAGATGTGATTCAAACACGAATCCTCAGACTCCAGAGCCAGTGCTCTTTCCATTGGGCCAAGCACTTACTTTCCTCCCACCTACCGAGTACAGTAGGCAGTATAATTATTATTTTCCTTATTTTTCAGATGGGGTCAAATGAGCCACAAGATAACAGAGCCAGGGTTTGAAAGTTTGATTCTAAGCCCTGTGTTCTTTCCCACTACACTAAAATGTCACAATATTTATCAGTTTCCATTTAGTTGACAAAGAAAGCTCAAAGAGAGGGGAATGTGTCTATATATCCTCTAGCAGAATTTTAAACTCCATTTTTCTTTCCCTCGCTCAAAAATCTTCAATGGCTTCCTGTTTCTCTTGGCAAACAATCTAGTCTCAGCTAGACAAGGGCCTTTTCTGGCTTTCTTAGCCTTCTGTGTATTCTAAGGGAATGGAAATATGCAGAGCATATTTGCTTTATAGAATTATCTTTAAACATAAAATGGTGAGCTCCATGCTTTCACTACCATGGTTTTAAGCACACATGTCCCCTACTTTAGGGAAGATAAAAACAAATTCATTCATTCTTCATTTAAGGAATGTTTAAATGTAGTTTTGGAGACATATGTATTGGTGCCTTATGGAGGGAGGAGGAAATTCTTATTTCTATTCTGCACTCGAATAGAAAGTTCCTGGGTTTCCTCTCTAAGAGGCTGAGCCAAGGCCTTGTGACCTTGATCACAGTATTTTAATGCCTCTATTGCCAGGCTTTTCTCCTGAGCTGGCCAGTCACTGTTACAAGATTCTTGGGTCTTCTCTCAATATTCCCAAATACCAAGAATCACAGTTTTGAAAAAGGCACAGCTAGGTACAAACCTATATGCAGGCAGGCTAGCATGTGAATATCTCTGCCATTACATGGAAAGCATTTGATTATTGAGCCATCACATCTGCTAGGTACAAGGTAGGTGCTGCTTCCTTTACCTTAGCATTCCTGGAACACACAACTGGAGTGCCTCATTCAAGAACATGAAGAGCCAACCAGCCTAGTTCCAAATGCCTACTGCATGGGGCACCTAGGTGGTACAGTGGATAGAGCACCAGCCCTGAAGTCAGGAGGACTTGAGTTCAAATCCAGCCTCGGACCAAACATTTGACACTTACTTATTAGCTGTGTGACCCTGGGCAAGTCACTTAACCCCAATGGCCTGAAAAAAACCCCCAAAAACGAAAAAACAAAGGCCTGCTGCTACAGTGGAGGAAGATAGGCAACTGGGGCTCTGGCCCAGAGCACTGAATTTAGAGAGGTCTGACAGCACCAGTGATTTTCATCAGGGTAGACGTAAGAGTTTGGCAGACTGCCTGGAACAAAAGCTTTATCTGTTTAGTTGGCAAGAATAATTAATTTAAATAGTATTGGTGGAGTGGGGTGAGCACCTCCTCCCACAGCTGCTCCTCCTCCCCAATACTCCCAGTTGGCCTCCTGCTGGTGTACTTCCTACCACTTGCCCTGAATATATATCGGAGTACTTGCCCTTGGCACAGAAACTCCTAGTTACGGCTCTGGTCCAAGGACTAGCTTAGCTAAGTCTACAGAAATTCATCATTCAATTGGCCCAGAATGGTGGATTTCTCAATCACAGTAACTCTTGAATGTAGGGGTTATGATCTATGTTAATGGAGGCAGTATCTATACTGGGGAAATTACAGATGCTTGAAATATTGAAGTAGAAAGCAACTCTTGAGGGGGCAGCTAGGTGGTGCAGTGGATACAGCACCGGCCCTGGATTCAGGAGGACCCGAGTTCAAATCCAGCCTCAGACACATGACACTTACTAGCTGTATGACCCTGGGCAAGTCACTTAACTCCCTTGCCTAGCCAAAAAAAAAAAAAGAGAAAGCGCCTCTTGTGTCACATGAAATATCTCATTTTATCTATCTCACCATCACCAGGTAAAGTGGTGTAGTGGTAATAGACCTTTGCCAGGGTGGGCAAAGGATCTGGCATCATATGCCCTCTCTGTTACCTATTACTTGGGGACATTGGGCAAGTCATTCCAGCTTACTGATATTCAGTTTCCTCTTGTATAAAATGAGGAAGAAGAGGTGGACAAAATAATTTCCTAAGTCCCTTCTAGCTCAAGATCTATGATGTTATGATGGCAGAAGAGTCCAGGAAACTGCCTTCTCTATCACACCTTGAATTTACTTTAGTACTCCTGAAAAAAATGAAAGTTCTCTCAAATCACATTTTATCATTGACTTCTTTTTTCTTTCATTACTTTCTTCCACCATTCCTTTTTCCCTCCCTCCCCCTCTCCCTCCGTCCTTCTTTCCTTCTTTCCTTCCTTCCTTCTAGCCTTCCTTCTTCCTTCCCCTTCTTCCTTCCTCCCTCCCCTTTCCCCCTCTTCCTTCCCTATTTCCTCCCTCCCTTCTTTTCTCCCTTTCACCTTTCCTTCCTCTCTCCCTTCCTTTCTTCCTCTCTTCATCATTTCCTTCCTTCCGCTCTTCCTTCTTTTCTTCCTTTCTCTGTCCCTTTCTTCCTCCCTCCCTAGCTTCCTTCTGCATCTAGTCTAATCCTCTCATTTGAAAGGTAAGGAAACTGAGTCCCAGAGAAGATAAATGACCTGCCCAAGGTCACACAGGTTGTATGTGTCAGAGCTGAGATTCATACTGAGGTTTCCCTACCCCTTTTTGTTGCACTATACAATCTCTGAAAAACAAGACTCTCAGACAAATAATCAATTCCCATGAGTCCCAATAAGAGTCGATGTCCAGGAATCAAGTCTTTCTTATTGAACCTGTTAAAAATATGCATATAAAAAACCCCGTGGTATAGTGGAAAGACCATTAGGCTGAAACACAGAAAGCCTGGGTTCCAAGCCCAGCCCTACCCCTCACTAGCTTTGAGCCATAGATAAGCCCACTTTTCTCTCTAGGCTTCCATTTATTCATCTGTAAAATGAAGGGTCAAAATAGTTAATCTCAGAGGTCCTTTCCTTCTCTGACATTCTGTAATCCTCTACATTACCCTTTCTTTAAAATAAAAAAAAAGTTTTATTGGTGATCATTTTTTAAATGGTCATCACTTTCCAATGACTCTACCTATCCCCAGTAGAATCCTTCCTGTTAACAAAGGAATACAACTATGCAAAACAAATGAATGCATTAGCCATGTCTGACGATGCGGGCCTCATGGCGACCTTTCAGTTTGTTGGCTCTCTGCCAATGATCGTGCTCCATCATCAATCCTCACAAGTCATGATTGATCTTTGCAATGATGTTCACAGCAGCTGATGTTGGGATACTGTTTTCAGGGTTGGAAATTGCTATATATGCATATATATGTATATATATATTTGATCCCCACAACCACTGTGTGAGGTAGGTGCTATTATTATTCCTGTTTCACAGATGAGGAACCTGAGGTGGAAAGGTTAAATGATTCACGGTCATGTGTTGTTGTTCAGTCATTTCAGTCCTGACTCTTTGTGACCCCACTTGGGGGTTTTCTTGGCAAAAATACTAGAGTGGATTGCCATTTCCTTCTCAATATCATTTTACAGATGAGGAAACTGAGGCAAACAGGGTTAAGTGACTTGCCCAGGGTCACACAGCTAGTAAGTGGCTAAAGCCAGATTTGAACTCAGAAAGATGAGTCTTCTTGACTCCAGGTCCAGCACTCTATCTACTAAACCACCCAGCTGCCCTATCACATCACTAGTAAATATCTGAAGAAAGATTTGAACTTAGGTCTTCCTGTTTCAAGTCCAACATACTGTCCACTATGCTGCCTAGTTGAATAGGCCTCTGAAGTATTTCAACATTTTTTTTTCCCCTTTAAATTTTTTCCCCCTTTGTTACACCATACTTTCCAAAGCCCCTAAGGGTTTATTTCTCATTACAGATCAAACAAGAGGAAGAAGAGGACAGAAGAGGACAGTCTGATCAGTAGTGAATTCAGTAATATGAGATTGGAGACTACAGGGTTCAGCAACCCAGCCTTCTCCAATGGGAGCCTCTTCCCCAAGGTCAATGCTCGACTTCCCAGGGTCCAAAGTCATCCCTATGAGGATCCATATCCCCAAAGGTCCATGCCTGCACGAGATTATTAGGTAAGCATTTGACATTCCTGTTTGTCTTTTCAGAGTAAAGTATGTGCTACGTGTGTGTGTGTGTGTGTGTGTGTGTGTGTGTGTGTGTGTGAGAGAGAGAGAGAGAGAGAGAGAGAGAGAGAGAGAGAGAGAGAGAGAAAGAAAGAAAGAAGAGAGACAAAGAGAGACAGAGAGACAGAGAGAGAGAAACAGAGACACACACACACAGAGACACAGGGAGGCAGAGAGTCAGACGGGGGGGATAGAGGCAGAGACAGAGAGAGAATAGGGCCCAGTTGAATATATTTAATTATGTGACTTCCTCTTGTCACAGCTTACTGTTTACTGAGTGTTTTAGTGTGATGCACAAGCTATGGTGTTCAGGTTCTAATTAAGAGATATGGAAAGTAATTCTATGAAAGATTTTACAGTTATAGAGGTAAATAAGGTTTATTACCCCATCATCAAACATGGCCCCCATCCCAGACTCCCCTCCTTTGCTCCAGTCTGAGAGGATGAAGGCCCTTCTTCTTGCCAACACCAGCCTGTCTATTTGCGCCCTTAATTCCATCCCCTCCCCTTAGCTTTAGGAGCTTACCACATTTGAGCATCCCCTTTATTTCCCTAATTTTCAGCTTTTTCTCATCCATGACCAGTGAACAGGACCAGGTCTCCTCAGTTCTTAAAAAGCTTTCACATTGGTCCCACCATGCCCTCGAGCTCTTATCCTGAATATCCTCTTCCTTTCCTAGCCAAAGTCCAAATAAAACAGAACAGAACCAGTTAAAACAAATCTGACCTGTTTAATTCATTGATTTCACCTTCCCACTTCCTGCTTACATCTTCACCTCTTGAAATCTAGCCTCCATCCTTACTATTCATCTGAAATTGCTCTCTTCTAGGTCACCAGTGATCTCTCTCTTATTAAGACTCGTAGCCTTTTCTCTGTCCTCATCCTTCTTGACCTCTCTGCAGCATTTGGTAGTGTTAAACACATTCCTCCTTCTCTCTGTATTTTTGTGACATTGCTTTGTTATAGTTCTCTTCCTTCCTATGAAGACATTCTTTCTTGATATCCTTTCAATCTCTTTTCTCGTGTCCCCATTTTCTATAGGAGGGCATACTCCCAGGGCTCTCTATATCTTGGGGTTCTCTCTTGGTGATCTCATGACCTTCACTGGATTCAATGATCATTGCTATGCATATGACTTGCAGATATATTTCTCCAACCCTAGTCTATCTTTCCTGACTTCCAGTCTCACATTTCCAGCTGCCTCTTTGACATCTCTATTTGTATGTCCCATTTTTATTGTTATTCGTTCTTGTTGTTGTTTGTTCAGTCATATCTGACTCTTGACACCCATGGTCCATGGGCCAGCACACCAGACTCTTCTATCCTCCGCTAATTCCCAAAGTCTGTACAAGCTCATTTTCATTGCTTTCATGACACTATCTCTCCATCTCATCCTCTGCCATCTCATCCTTTTACCCTCAATCTTTCCCAACATCAAGGCCTTTTCCAACAATTCTTGTCTTCTCATTGTGTATTTAAAGTATTAAATATTTCTCAAAGTATTTAAGTTTCAGCTTCAATGAGTAGTCTGACTTAATTTCTTTAAGTATAGACTGTTTTGATCTCCTTGCTGTCCAAGGGACTCCCAAAAGTCTTCTCCGGCACCACAATTCTAAAGCATAGATTCTGCAGGCTCAGCTTTCCTCATAGTCCCAACTCTCACAGCCATGTGTTACTACTGGAAAAACCATAGCTTTGACTATATGGACCTTTGTTGGCAAAGTAATGTCTGCTTTTTAGTATGCTACCCATATTTGCCATAGTTTTCCTTCAAAGGAGCAAGCATCTTGTAATTTCATGGCTGCACTCACATATGTAGTGATCTTTGAGCCATACGCAGCTTATGCTGGTCCATGGATCTTACATTCCAGTTTCCTATGCAGTGTTGATCTTTGCGACATCAGACTTACCTTTTGTCACCAGACACTTCCATAGCTGAGCTTCCTTTCAGTTTTGGCCCAGCTACTCATTCTTTCTGGAGCTACTTGTAGTTGCCCTGTGCTCTTCCCCAATAACATGTTGTACAACTTCTGACCTAAGGGGCTCATCTTCTGGTGTCAGATTTTTTTCATTTTATTACTGTCCATGGGGTTTTCTTGGCAAAGATACTGGAGTGGTTTGCCATTTCCTTCTCTAGTGGATCACCTTTTGTCAGAACTCTCCACTATTACCTGTCCATCTTGAGTAACTTTGCATGGCATAGCTCATTGTTTCATTGGGCTACTCAAGCCAGTTCCACCATGACAAGGCAATGATTTAGGAAGGGTGTGTGTCCCATAAACTTCTCAAACTCAACATGTCCAAAACAGAACTCATTATCTTTCCCTCCTCCAAGAAAAACCACACCTCTCTCTCTTAATTTTCCTATTTCTTTGGAAAGCATGCAATCATTCTTCTAATTATTCAGGTTCATAACCTAGGAATTGTCTTCTACTCTTCACACTGTCTCCCATTATTCAATCAGGTATCAAGTCTTGTCAATTCCATCTGCTCAACATTTCTCAAATCCATCCTCTTCTTATCCTCTTCTCTCTGTTCACATCTCAACCATCCTCACCCAGGCTCTCGTCACCTCTTGCCTGGACAATTGCAGTAGCCTCCTAACTAGGTTCACTGCATCCATTCTTCCCTTTGTCAATCTGTCCTTCACACAGCTGTCAAACTGATGTTCTTAAATCACAGGTACCACCATGTTGTCTCTGTACCCAATGATCTTTATGGATCCTCGTTATCCTTAGGGTAAAATACAAATTCTTTTCTTTTCTGCTCTTCATATACTCTTTGCTCCAGCCAAACTGATCTCCATGATATTCTCCATAAACAACATTTTATCTCCCAACTGTGACCTTGCACAGGCAGTCCACCATCCCTGTGGCATTCTCTTCTCATCTCTGCTTCTTGCAATAGTAGCTACCTTTAAGGCTCAGCCTAAAAGCCACCTCTTTCAAGGGCTCTCCTGATTTCCCCAATTGTTAGTGCCTCCCCCAGCTATTACCATGAGATGTATTGATATATGTGTGTATATGTATGCACATATGTATATATGCATATATGTATGCACATATATATCTTTTATTGATTTGACCATGACTAAATTGTATCACCATTATTAAAAAGGTAAGCTCTTGAAGACAGACTATCTGACTTCTGAATTTGTATCTCCAATGCTTGGCACATAGAAGGCCCTTAAGAAATGCTTATTGACTGATTATTAGAAGGATTCATAGGAGGAGATGTTCATTCAGAGTCCTTTTACACTAGTGTATGCAGCTATCACAGACCCTGAATCATCAGTACTTCCCCACTCCTAATTACAGGGTGCCCCTGCCCCTAAGTCAGGCCCCATAAATAACTGCCATACGTGGGAAGTACCCCACACCACATAATGAGTGACTTGGGGCCCTCTGAGACAAAAGGGGTAAAAGTCATCAAAAAGGAAACTGGGTGGAAAAGTATTGTCAGTGCCCTTGTGGCATCCCCCAGGGCAGTCTTGTATAATGGAACTCAGGAGGAGGCTGGGGGCCAGAAGGAACTTGCAATAAAAGGGATGTGACTTCTCATGACTCAGGAAGAGTAAGAGCTAAGAGAAGCCAATCCCTTGTAAACAGAAATTTGAGCAAAAATCAAAGCATGTGCAGTTGTGTCTTATCCAGAGGTGAATGAAATTAGCTGAACCTTGGCTCTACTCCTCACTGAAACCGCAGGTATCCTAGCTAGCTATCACTGGTCCTTCTGTTCGAGAGTCTTTACACCATCCACCAGTCAATCAACAGACATTTATTCATTTGGACATTTATTCCTCCAGCCATCCTGCAAACATGTACTTCCATCATGCTTCCTCCACAATATTTCAGGTTTTAAAGGGCAGGTAGAAGCTTGTCACCTCCACTGGCTTTTGGTACAGAACTCTACACCAGATAGCTACTTAATCAATGTCAGATTAGATTACATTTGCTTTCCTCCCCTTCTTCATTTTATTCAGGCTAATAAAAACCAGAAGCCCACAACCCTTTGTCAATGAACTATGGCCCAGATTTTGAGTTCCAGGACAATCCAACTGGCATCTAGCAGAGAAGACATGGCACATGAAGACACTGGGTGTAGAGCTTATCTTTGCCTGAGATTTCTTCTATTTAGAAGCCGCAACTGGTTGAAATGGCTATTGTTTATTCACTAAATATATAGAAGTTATTGAGTATTGCAAGGCTATTGTTGTTGTTGTTTTTGAAGCCAGTACAAAGTAGGGGCACGGTCAGAACCTGCCAAGGTACCCTTCCTGGGGACACTTCAAAAGTGAGAATCCTTTGTGTACCATCTTTTTTGTCTCCCTTAGACACACGCTCATGAGAGGGGTGTTCTTCAGGGTCTTTGACTTGATAGTGACAAGTCCATAACTCAGGGGAGTTGCAAGGGCATGGGAGGCCATGAGGAGATACCATGTTGATAAGCAGATGATGAAAACAACTTTAGTATCTTGTTTTTTTGTATTATGTCAGATATGTCTGTATATGCTTGGTGAACTCTAGAATTTATTTCCTTTCATATTGAATAGGCAGTCTGGGAAGATTTTTCCTATGTGTATATGCATGGTAAACGCTATACTTTATTTCTTTTCATATTGAAAAGGAGATCCATGAAGTCTTATTGAAAATCAAGATGTATGGGGACCAAAAATAAGATGACAACTTCTTTTCTAGGCTGTTATTTGTGCCCCAGAACATAATAAAATGTCTTTGATACAGAGCATTGGTTTCTACTGCTTTGGCATTCAATGATATGTTTGAGCCTGGGTAAACTACCACCAAACCATCCACCTTGGGTGAACAGTGAGACAAATTCAGCGGAACTGGGACATCACCACGTGGTGAGAAGTAATAGGATCGGAAGAAAGAGAGCCCAGGATACTGACTACCCTAAGTTGCAACCCTGGGATATTTGAGTCTGCTGCTAGGGAGGGGAAAGAGCAAGACAGTCAAGTCAGTAAACATTTATTAAGCACCTACTATGTGCCAGGTACTTGCTAAGCACTGAGGATACAAAGAAGGCTCTCAAGGAATTCAGTCTAAAGAGGGAGACAATATGCAAAGAACAATATACAAACAAGCTATATATAAGATAAATTGGAAATAATCAATAGAGGGAAGTCACTAGAATTAAGAAGGATCAGGAAAAGTATTTGGGGTCGAGCTCTCTTGAGGTATAAATGCCAGGGGAGAAAGCAGGCTACCTTGTAGCTTCCTATTTTCACTAACTATCTATGCTAAGTGCCAGTTCTAGTGTTTCTAGCTGCTGAAGTAGTACATGTGCTATCAGAGCCCCCTCTAAATTTTGACACAGGAAGAAAGCTCTGATTGCCTTATCCTAGTTACTATTCTGAACCCTATATATTCATTACCTTGCTTCAGGAAGTAAACAACTATGAAAGAGAATACTTACTGTGTGTTTGTGTATCAAAATGTTTCTAATACAGAATGCTGGTTCCTGTTTTGAACTTGAGTGTTGCACATGTCACCTTACTTAAAGCGGCAAAACCAAGTTACAAATTTACAGAAAGTTCCACAGCAACTCCTTTTTTTTTTCCTTTTACTAATTCAATTCCATAAACACTTATCAAGCACCTATGAACTGAGTCCTTCTTCAACCATCACGATTCCCCTATTATGTGGTTCAGAGCAGGAGGGATTTACATTTGAAAATTACATTTAGGTGGCAGATGAGACTTGTGTAGGTGCAACATTAACAGTGTTTCAGTTTCACACATCCCCTAGATGAAATGAGAGGAGCCAGTCGGGGTTGTAGAACAACACTCTCTCTGTTTTGAAAGGAGGATGAAAAGATGTTGAGTTAGTGGAGAATGTGCTCCATCTAATGGAGGAAGTGCTCCATCTGGTTTTCCTGTCTTCCATCACAAGAGGGCTGGGAGTTCACCAGTTCACTGGCTAGCTAGTTATCTAGAATTTCATTCACTAATTTCAGTTGCCTGGGACACTGGAGACTTGCCTACAGTTATACAGCCAAAGTCAGAGGCAGGACTCTAGCAAAGCATCTCCTGACTCCAAGGTGAACTCTCTCTATTCCATTCCAGATTGGGTCTATAAGGTTTTAAGTGGTATAACTTTGAGGTGTCACCTCACAACCTGCAAATTGGCGAAGATGACAAAAGAAGGCAATAGTCAATGGTGGAGAGGTTATGGTGTGGGAGTTAAAATTGTCCAACCTACAATAAAAGAGACTGAGGCAAAGCTCTGAGCCAATGGTACTTTATTAAAGGGTTCATAGTCCCCTCTAATGAAGTGGACCTCAGATTTTCCTCATGATCTGAGATGCCCCCTTCTTCCAAGACCTTTTATTTATAGAGTTTGATACCCAAATATGCAAAAGAGGCATGGTCAAATACAGAATATCATTGGTTGACATATGATGCATAAGCTGAAATAAGCAAAAATGATCTGCAGTAGGATCACAAGTTGGGGGAAGGAAGGACTAGGTGGTCATAAGATGGATGGGCTCCTCCTTAATTTAGGCAAGAGGGGACAGTACAAGCTATACATACATTCCAAGAACATATTGGGAGGACTTTCCATACCAAGCCACCACTCATGCTTAGTTTAGTCATGGAATTTGAACAAAACAGGATAGAGACATCTTTGTCAGCATTCTTGTGGTTGCGCAAGTGAGCTCCATAGCTGTTAAGTAATGAACATTACATTTAAGTTTGAGGCCTATTATAGGGCCCTCTTATTAGAATCTATATTCCTATGTGACTTATACAAAGTATGAATTAATATGTTGCTTATTCTTATACCTATTATTAGGTAATTGATTAGATGAATATATTGAAATAATTACTGACAATCATTACCCCATGCAGAATCATAATGAACTGATTAATGCTGATTAGAGTTTGAGTAGGGGTCCTCAATGAATCAACTTTCTCAATGGAAAGACAGGCACGTGAATACACTGTTGCATCCAAACATTCTGGAAAGTCTGAGTTATGCTAAGTATCTGATTAAAATGTATATACCCTTTAACCCAGAGATCCTTCTGCTAGACACATACTCCAAGGATATCAATAGAAAAGATAGAAAGAAAGATCCCATCTATACCCAAATAGCAACAATTTTGTGGTAGTAAGAATTAGAAACAAATTGTTCATTGCTAGGCAATGACTATACTAATTGTGGCATGTGAATGTAATAGGATATTACTGTGCTGTAAGAAATGATGAGTATGAAAAATATAGAGAAACACAAGAAGATTTATATAAACTGATACAAAAGAAAACTAAGCAGAACCAGGAAAACAATATACACAGTGGCCACAATAATAGGTAGTGGTACCCTAGCCTTACTTTCCCAGAGCGAGCATGGCTACACTGCTCCCTCAAGGTTCTAAGAGTACTCCTGAAGTATTGGGGAAGTCCTTCTCTAATGATATTGGCTTAAGACCCTATTCTAGTGTGATTAGGGACCTAGTTCCATTTAACCCACAATTAGTTTTTACATAAAGACATTTACTTCCAGGAAAGCAAGAAGACAAATACAAATATCACCCCTATCCCCAACACTTGGGAGCATACTTTCTCCTACACTATCTCTGCCCCTGGGGAAGAGTGGGCTCAGACTTAATGCAGTTCCTACAAAGCATTTGCCCCACCAAGTTCACTTCCAAATGTAGCATAGCTCATACTTGGATGAATCTGCATCTTTGCTACTGCCAGACTCAACAGGGCAGGTCAGTCAAGGCTTTGCTTCTCACTGCCCAGCTTCTGACAAATCTCAGCATGGACTCTGACTCCAAGATTTCTGATATCTCACTTTCCTGACTTTTCAAAGCTCACAGTATCAGAGCCGTCTCTAATCTTCTCCACCTAAAATTAGGAAGAATAAGACACAGCAATGACAGAAGCAACAGCAGAATCCTGCACTTATCACAGTCCTTTCCTTTCATTTGAACATTCCAGGCAGGAAAAAGCCAGAACCAATAAACTAGCCCTGGCTGACCAGTGCTTTTTGAATGTCCCCTAGTTCTGGTTACCCTGCTAATCAACAATCTGTCTCATGAAGTTGGAAGAACAGGACCAGCCCCTGGTGTCCTTCTCCCCCATCCCATTACAAACAAACAAATAAAAAAAAATTCAATGCTGGGTAACTATTACGACCAAACCTTGAAGAAGAGATACAAGAATGTACCTCTCTTTGTAGAAATGGAAGTCTATGGGCATGGAACACTGTATATATTATCAGACTTAGTTGATTTTTTTCTGAACTGCTTTTCTTTCTTTTTTATTATTTATTAATTTTACTATTGTTGCTTAAAATAGTAGTTATGATTATTATTCACTATTATTTATAGAGTAAGAGTTGGCAAACTATGGCCTGTGGGCAAAATGCAGCCCACTGCCTGCTTTTGAACCTGGCCTGTGGACCCATCATTTTCCAATCCCTGGGATGGCTCTCTCAGGAGTGGGGACAAATATAGTAAGAAATATATTAGGAAACAAATATATTAGGAAATGAAGGTGATACAAAAGCAAGAGATATCTATAACTGTATTTTAAAGCCTTTAAGATACAGAATCGTTCCCATAATGCATTACTGGAAGGAGTGTTTTCTTTTTCCTTCAATTTTCAGTTCCGAATTGCCTCCCTCCTTCTAACCCCTCCCCCATTATTGAGAAGGCAGGAAATACAATACCCCATTATGCACATGAAGTCATGCAAAATCAATTTTTGCATTAGCTATGTAGGGAGTGAGTGGGGAGGGGAAGCAAGAAATATACTAAAAATATATACTTTAATTTGCGCTCTGAGTCCATCAGTTCTCTATCTGGTGGTAGATAGCATTTTGTATCATGAATCCTTTGGAATTGTGGTGGATCATTGTACCTCAGAGTTACTAAGTCCTTCACCACTGATTATAATACTGCTGTTACTTTACATAGTAACATAGTATACATAGATGGTTCTGCCCACTTCACTTTGTATCAGTTCATACAAGTCTTCCCAGGTGTTTCTGAAACCATCCTTTTCATCACTTTTTATAACATAATACTATTGCAAAACATTCACATGCTACAACTTGCTCAGCTATTCCTCAGTTGATGGTCATCCCCTCAGTTTTCAATTCTTTGCTACCACAAAAAGAGTTACTATAAATATTTTGTACATGAGTCCTTTTCCTCTTTCTTTGATTTCCTTGGGGCATAGACCTAGTAGCAATACTGCCAGGTCAAAGGGTTTGCACAGTTATGTAGGCCCTTGGGCATAGTTCCAAATTGTTTTCCAGAATAGTTGGACCAATTCACAGCTCCAACAGTCCATTAGTGTACCTGTTTTCTCACATCTTCCTGGAGGGAGTTTTTAACTAGTTTTTTTGCACTAACAAAATCACAAATCTTCACTCACTTCGCCCTTTAAAAATAAATAAATAAATAAATAAAAGCCCTATAGCTCACTCTTAGGTCAAACAGAGATGTATAAAGCAAAAGGTCACAATTTATTTCATAGGAGTGTGACTTTCTCTTAGTTCAAGGATGGCGATATTCAGGAACTTGGAAAAATCACTCAACTAAATAACCCAGAAAGTTGGGGACATATTCCCAACTTAACAATACACTGGCCAAAGTGCTTTAGGGGGAAAAAAGCTATTTAGAGACAAGAAAAAATAACCAAAAATCATAAAATTGAAAACAGGCGAATCATACATGTGTAAACTCTGCTCTGGTCTCTCTTTCCTA